CACACATCTGTGTGCGCCAATGCAGTATCCACACATGCCCATGTATGCATCACTGATCTGCACACGCTCGTGTAATCACAAGGTCTGGTTTGATACCAATTGTAACGTCCCGGCCAAACCCACCAGTTCTTCGGCCTCACACACAAACACTAGTCTTTTTGGCACACTTTGACCTTACTCGTGCGCGTCCGGGATCAACTTCCCAGTTGGTCATCCATCCTCAAATTGCTCCAAGCCAAGCACGCTTAACTTTGAGTTTCATTTTGGATGGGCTCCCTGGAAAAAAGATGCACCTTATTAATATGAGCAGTCTCTCATTTCTTTTCAGCCCAGATGTCACATTAAGCCCTTTTACGGTTTTGATTAGAGATGCCCTTATCCCTCTATTTAGATCTATGAGTGGTGGCTAGTATTTTCTTTAGCCAACGGATATGTAGAGGCAAATATTATAAAATTGACGTTGGAATTGTCATACTCTAAGGCAAAAATTGCCACGCTGTAGAGTAATCGCCATGCATCCGGTCAGGGTCTAGCGGTCCTAAGGGCGTTCGCTGGGATTGTTAAAATTCTGAAGTTCGCTGGTTATCGAAGTCCTATATAGAATATTAAAAGCCTGATTTGTTGGTACTAGAAGGGAACAATTGGTGGTTTTCACCATTAATTTGTATTTTCCCATCAACTAGCTAAAATTCAGCATGGGGTTTGGTTAGGCTTGGTTGAGTTTGTAAGAAAAGTAGTAGGTTGAGGGGCTTCATTGATTAGTAAACCTACGGTGTTGGTAAGGTCCGGACCGTGGTCGTCCGTCTTCGCTTTGCCGGCCGATTTTTTTTTAACTTGCATATGTTCAGAACATTTGCAAGCTCTAGAAGTTCATATATCGTCATATATCAAGATGCTTAAAAAATAAACTTTACACGCTCATATTCATATATTGCAGATGGAAAACCGAATAAACTTGTTCATTTGAGTTGGTGCTGCAAATGTTAGACAAAAATTGCAAATATGGATCGATGCAAGCACATCTTCTTTTATTTGAAATCGTTGTTTGAGGACACAAAGCACGTTATAGGTATTAATTCTGGGCAAGCATTCTAACACTTTTTTGTTCTAGAATCATGGCTGGTAATCTCACCATATATGGAGAATGGTGATCACAACTAGTGTTGCCATCCAACAAAACAAAGCTGGCGCATTCCAGTCAAACATCATTTTTATAGTCGAATAAAAAATTAGCTGAACCCATTCAACCAATGGCACCTGAACCATCAAAATATGGATGTCCATAACCTATCCAACCTTGACGCACAACCAAACTCGGGTGACAGGAATCTAGTAGTAGGATACAATGTATTTTTGCAAGTTGATCTTTTGTTGAGAGAATAAAGTAATTATTAGGAGCCTAGGCTGGGTAATATGAAAAAACACCCACCTTCACCAAGTGTATTTGAAATAGTAAAATAAAGATTATTGGATGGCTAAGTGTGACCAAATTAGAAGTAACAACATTATTTAATATTGTCGGCAAAACAAATCTAATGAAAGTAATAAATTTAGTACTTACTTTTGATATAATCATAGAGGGACATATATGAAAAAGACGCAAAGTAAACATTTGAAGCTAAACTAATTGTATGTAGAAACAAACCCACCAATCACAAATATTCTAACAATGTATGATCCCTACAGTATGTGAAGCAAAATCGTCCTGAAGCAATTCTTCCAGTTACAAAGCTTAAAAACTATGGAGAAGTCACGGAAGACATTATTTTAGATGCACTAAGACGAGTTCTTATTACATACTCCACTTTGCAAGCACATGATGGGCATTGGCCTGGCGGTTTCAGTGGGATTCTTTTCATCATGCCTCTCATGGTATGTATATTTACTCTTTTGAAATTTGATAACATATTTTGAAATATACAATATTATAATTGAAACTTGATATGAAAATTAAGAACCATATAAAAGAAATAAAGTAAAATCTAGCTATATATGATACTTCAGCATGATATTCTTTTATTATAACCCAACTATCATAAACTTAAATGAAATTTGTAACAGGTCATGAATCGATTTTGATCTCAAAAAAATGATGTGTTCCTATAATTTCATATGTCAATTTACAAAAATGGTGATTATGAGGTCTTAGGACAAAAATATTCATTTAGATGGTTTTATAGAGATTGGCACTTGATATTTCCTAAGATACTTACAGTTTTCATTGAAAAATATGGTGAATTAGTTCATTTCAATATCTGATCACTTTATAGGATTGTTCTATAATCCTATTCTCGTAGTTACTCCTAATCATAACCGTGTACACATTATTGATTTGCAGTATTAAGATTTCTTGTTACTTTGCAATAACTTATCAAAGATGTATGTATTCTAGATATTTGCTTTATATGTCACCGGATCACTCGATATGGTCATATCACCAGAGCATATACGTGAGATATGTCGTTACATTTACAACATCCAGGTATGGCATACAATAACAGTTTCATTATAATAATTAATACTTAAGATACAGTAAACTACAACAAATTTTGCGTAAATACATTTAGAATGAAGATGGTGGGTGGAGCACACATATTTTGGGTCCTAGCTCCATGTTTGGCTCTTGTGTAAACTATGTAACATTAAGGATCCTTGGTGAGGAGCTTGATGGCAATGAGGCATTATACAAAGGGCGTGCATGGATTTTATCTCATGGTAGTGCAACTGCATCACCACAACGGGCAAAGATATGGCTCTCGGTATGTATGTATGTATGTATGTATGTATGTATGTATGTATGTATGTATGTATTCAAAGCTATCATGATTCCAAATGTGCAAGGACCTTTGAAGAGATCAAGAGTATTTATTTTTTAGGTGTTACCCACACTAATTACTCACCTGCACTTTCATGGAGGAATTAATATTTAATCCATCATAATAGTTCTACGATATGGTCTTCCTAGTTTCACATGTGCTCACCCGTTCTTTTTATAGGTGAAGTTCTACTACCTGTGTAGTGAAACATCCTAAAATGAGCATTTGTACAAAAATTATGTACATTGACTATATTATAATGTATTTTATCGTCGTAATATCATTCTCTTTCCAAATCTACCATAAATTACAAAAGGGCCTGCCAAAATCCAATTAATCTCCTCATTAATTCAAGATTGAAGTGCGGTTAGAGAATTTTCTTACCTTTTTCTAGTTGGAGTTACCCATCTATATTTTACAGGTAATTGGAGTGTATGATTGGTCTGGGAATAATCCAGTTATTCCAGAACTATGGTCGGTTCCACATCTTCTTCCAATTCATCCAGGTATTTGTATTGGATTTGAATCATAATAGTTATAGTTGTGCAATTGGGATTTTAGTATAGAGAATATATCTAATACTTTTCATTCTTGCATTTCCATGTAATTTGTTGTCCATAGTATCAACAACTTTTTCAAAAAATAAATAGATTGTATTGTTTGTAGGAAAATTTTGGTGCTTCTGTCGGATGGTTTATATGCCAATGGCTTATATTTATGGGAAAAAATTTGTTGGCCCCATTACTCCAACAATACTAGCACTAAGAGATGAGCTCTATAATAAACCATACAGTGAGATCAATTGGAACATGGCTCGTAGTTCGTGTGCCAAGGTTTGTTATTTCTATACTTGAAAACTCCGAACTCTTATAATTATTTGTTACCCACTCTTTGGAATTTGAACTTTCAATTCAAGTTTTGAAAAATTATTATTCTAACAATACATCTTTTTGAATTTGGGTACAAAACCAAATATGCATGATTTTAATTTTGTAACTAGTGGGAAAATATTGGTAAGGAATTTACAATAAGAAAAAAAAACTTCGACAATGAATATATGCCTTATATATTCGCCGCGCATATGCAATATAAGCCTTTTAAATTTCAAGTGAAGGTACACACATACAATGGAAACTATTATGTGTACCACGTGCAACAAAGTGTTCTCATTCTGAATGTAAAATTAAGCTTTTGTTATTTATTGTCTAGAAACTAAATTATGTAGTCAATGTTGGGGAACGTAGTAATTTCAAAAAATTTCCTACGCACACGCAAGATCATGGTGATGCACAGCAATGAGAGGGGAGAGTGTTGTCTACGTACCCACGCAGACCGACTGCGGAAGCGTTGACACAACATAGAGGAAGTAGTCGTACGTCTTCCCGATCCGACCGATCCAAGCACCGTTACTCCGGCACCTCCGAGTTCTTAGCACACGTACAGCTCGATGACGATCCCCGGGCTCCGATCCAGCAAAGCGTCGGGGAGGAGTTCCGTCAGCACGACGGCGTGGTGACGATCTTGATGCACTACTGTCGCAGGGCTTCGCCTAAGCACTGCTACAATATAATCGAGGTGGAATATGGTGGCAGGGGGCACCGCACACGGCTAAGAAACGATCTCAATGATCAACTTGTGTGTCTAGGGGTGCCCCCTGCCTCTGTATATAAAGGAGCCAAGGGGGAGGGGGCCGCCGGCCAGGAGGAGGGCGCAGGAGGAGTCCTACTCCTACCGGGAGTAGGACTCCCCCCCCCCCCCATCCTAGTTGGACTAGGATTCCCCAAGGGGGAAAGAGAGAGAGGGGGGCCGGCCACCTCTCCTAGTCCTAATAGGACTAGGGGAGGGGGAGGCGCGCAGCCCACCTTGGGTTGCCCCCTTCTCCTTTCCACTAAAGCCCACTAAGGCCCATATGGCTCCCGGGGGGTTCCTGTAACCTCCCGGTACTCCGGTAAAATCCCGATTTCACCCGGAACACTTCCGATATCCAAACGTAGGCTTCCAATATATCAATCTTCATGTCTCGACCATTTCGAGACTCCTCGTCATGTCCGTGATCTCATCCGGGACTCCGAACTAACTTCGGTACATCAAAATGCATAAACTCATAATAATTGTCATCGTAACGTTAAGCGTGCGGACCCTACGGTTCGAGAATAATGCAGACATGACTGAGACACATCTCCGGTCAATAACCAATAGCGGGACCTGGATGCCCATATTGGCTCCTACATATTCTATGAAGATCTTTATCGGTCAGACCGCATAACAACATACGTTGTTCCCTTTGTCATCGGTATGTTACTTGCCCGAGATTCGATCGTCGGTATCCAATACCTAGTTCAATCTCGTTACCGGCAAGTCTCTTTACTCGTTCTGTAATACATCATCCCGCAACTAACTCATTAGTTGCAATGCTTGCAAGGCTTATGTGATGTGCATTACCGAGAGGGCCCAGAGATACCTCTCCGACAATCGGAGTGACAAATCCTAATCTCGAAATACGCCAACCCAACATCTACCTTTGGAGACACCTGTAGAGCTCCTTTATAATCACCCAGTTACATTGTGACGTTTGGTAGCACACAAAGTGTTCCTCCGGTAAACGGGAGTTGCAATATCTCATAGTCATAGGAACATGTATAAGTCATGAAGAAAGCAATAGCAACATACTAAACGATCGGGTGCTAAGCTAATGGAATGGGTCATGTCAATCAGATCATTCAACTAATGATGTGACCTCGTTAATCAAATAACAACACCTTGTTCATGGTTAGGAAACATAACCATCTTTGATTAACGAGCTAGTCAAGTAGAGGCATACTAGTGACACACTAAGTTTGTCTATGTATTCACACATGTATTATGTTTCCGGTTAATACAATTCCAGCATGGATAATAAACATTTATCATGATATAAGGAAATAAATAATAACTTTATTATTGCCTCTAGGGCATATTTCCTTCAGTCTCCCACTTGCACTAGAGTCAATAATCTAGATTACACAGTAATGATTCTAACACCTATGGAGCCTTGGTGCTGATCATGTTTTGCTCGTGGAAGAGGCTTAGTCAACGGGTCTGCAACATTCAGATCCGTATGTATCTTGCAAATCTCTATGTCTCCCACCTGGACTAGATCCCGGATGGAATTGAAGCGTCTCTTGATGTGCTTGGTCCTCTTGTGAAATCTGGATTCCTTTGCCAAGGCAATTGCACCAGTATTGTCACAAAAGATTTTCATTGGACCCGATGCACTAGGTATGACACCTAGATCGGATATGAACTCCTTCATCCAGACTCCTTCGTTCGTTGCTTCCGAAGCAGCTATGTACTCCGCTTCACATGTAGATCCCTCTACGACGCTTTGTTTAGAACTGCACCAACTGACAGCTCCGCCGTTTAATGTAAACACGTATCCGGTTTGCGATTTAGAATCGTCCGGATCAGTGTCAAAGCTTGCATCAACGTAACCTTTTACGGTGAGCTCTTTGTCACCTCCATATACGAGAAACATATCCTTAGTCCTTTTCAGGTATTTCAGGATGTTCTTGACCGTTGTCCAGTGATCCACTCCTGGATTACTTTGGTACCTCCCTGCTAAACTTATAGCAAGGCACACATCAGGTCTGGTACACAGCATTGCATACATGATAGAGCCTATGGCTGAAGCATAGGGAACATCTTTCATTTTCTCTCTATCTTCTGCAGTGGTCAGGCATTGAGTTTGACTCAACTTCACACCTTGTAACACAGGCAAGAACCCTTTCTTTGCTTGATCCATTTTGAACTTCTTCAAAATCTTGTCAAGGTATGTGCTTTGTGAAAGTCCAATTAAGCGGATCTATCTCTATAGATCTTTATGCCTAATATGTAAGCAGCTTCACCGAGGTCTTTCATTGAAAAACTCTTATTCAAGTATCCCTTTATGCTATCCAGAAATTCTATATCATTTCCAATCAGTAATATGTCATCCACATATAATATCAAAAATGCTACAGAGCTCCCACTCACTTTCTTGTAAATACAGGCTTCACTGAAAGTCTGTATAAAACCAAATGCTTTGATCACACTATCAAAGCGTTTATTCCAACTCCGAGAGGCTTGCACCAGTCCATAAATGGATTGCTGGAGCTTGCACACTTTGTTAGCTCCCTTTGGATCGACAAAACCTTCTGGTTGCATCATATACAACTCTTCTTCCAAAAATCCATTCAGGAATGCAGTTTTGACATCCATCTGCTAAATTTCATAATCATAAAATGCGGTAATTGCTAACATGATTCGGACAGACTTAAGCATCGCTACGGGTGAGAAGGTCTCATCGTAGTCAACCCCTTGAACTTGTCGAAAACCTTTTGCGACAAGTCGAGCTTTGTAGACAATAACATTACCATCAGCGTCAGTCTTCTTCTTGAAGATCCATTTATTCTCTATTGCTTGCCGATCATCGGGCAAGTCAACCAAAGTCCATACTTTGTTCTCATACATGGATCCCATCTCAGATTTCATGGCTTCAAGCCACTTTGCGGAATCTGGGCTCACCATCGCTCCTTCATAGTTCGTAGGTTCATCATGATCTAGCAGCATGATTTCCAGAACAGGATTACCGTACCACTGTGGTGCGGATCTCACTCTGGTTGATCTACGAGGTTCAGTAGTATCTTGTCCTGAAGTTTCATGATCATCATCATTAGCTTCCTCACTAATTGGTATAGGTGTCGCAGAAACAGTTTTTTGTGATGTACTACTTTCCAATAAGGGAGCAGGTACAGTTACCTCGTTAGGTTCTACTTTCCTCCCACTCACTTCTTTCGAGAGAAACTCCTTCTCTAGAAATGATCCATTCTTAGCAACGAATGTCTTACCTTCGGATATGTGATAGAAGGTGTACCCAACAGTCTCCTTTGGGTATCCTATGAAGACACATTTCTCTGATTTGGGTTTGAGCTTATCAGGTTGAAGCTTTTTCACATAAGCATCGCAGCCCCAAACTTTAAGAAACGACAACTTTGGTTTCTTGCCAAACCATAGTTCATAAGGCGTCGTCTCAACGGATTTTGATGGTGCCCTATTTAACGTGAATGCGGCCGTCTCTAAAGCATAACCCCAAAACGATAGCGGTAAATCAGTAAGAGACATCATAGATAGCACCATATCTAGTAAAGTACGATTACGACGTTCGGACACACCATTACGCTGTGGTGTTTCGGGTGGCGTGAGTTGCGAAACTATTCCACAATTTTTCAAATGTACACCAAACTCGTAACTCAAATATTCTCCTCCACGATCAGATCGTAGAAACTTTATTTTCTTGTTACGATGATTTTCAACTTCACTCTGAAATTCTTTGAACTTTTCAAATGTTTCAGACTTATGTTTCATTAAGTAGATATACCCATATCTGCTTAAGTCATCTATGAAGGTGAGAAAATAACGATATCCGCCACGAGCCTCAATATTCATCGGACCACATACATCGGTATGTATGATTTCCAACAAATCTGTTGCTCTCTCCATAGTACCGGAGAACGGCATTTTAGTCATCTTGCCCATGAGGCACGATTCGCAAGTACCAAGTGATTCATAATCAAGTGGTTCCAAAAGTCCATCGGTATGGAGTTTCTTCATGCGCTTTATACCGATATGACCTAAACGGCAGTGCCACAAATAAGTTGCACTATCATTATCAACTCTGCATCTTTTGGTTTCAACATTATGAATATGTGTGTTACTACTATCGAGATTCATCAAAAATAGACCACTCTTCAAAGGTGCATGACCATAAAAGATATTACTCATATAAATAGAACAACCATTATTCTCTTATTTAAATGAATAACCGTCTCACATCAAACAAGATCCAGATATAATTTTCATGCTCAACGCTGGCACCAAATAACAATTATTTAGGTCTAATATTAATCCCGAAAGAAGATGTAGAGGTAGCGTGCCGACCGCGATCACATCGACTTTGGAACCGTTTCCCACGCGCATCGTCACCTCGTCCTTCGCCAGTGTTCGCTTAATCCGTAGTCCCTGTTTCGAGTTCCAAATATTAGCAACAGAACCAGTATCAAATACCCAGGTGCTACTGCGAGCTCTAGTAAGGTACACATCAATAACATGTATATCACATATACCTTTGTTCACCTTGCCATCTTTCTTATCCGCCAAATACTTGGGGCAGTTCCGCTTCCAGTGACCAGTCTGCTTGTAGTAGAAGCACTCAGTTTCAGGCTTTGGTCCAGACTTGGGTTTCTTCTCCTGAGCAGCAACTTGCTTGCCGTTCTTCTTGAAGTTCCCCTTCTTCTTCCCTTTGCCCTTTTTCTTGAAACTAGTGGTTTTGTTAACCATCAACACTTGATGCTCCTTCTTGATTTCTACCTCCGTAGCTTTCAGCATTGCGAAGAGCTCGGGAATAGTCTTGTTCATCCCTTGCATATTATAGTTCATCACGTAGCTCTTGTAGCTTGGTTGCAGCGATTGGACAATTCTGTCAATGACGCAATCATCTGGAAGATTAACTCCCATCTGAATCAAGTGATTATTATACCCAGACATTTTGAGTATATGCTCACTGACAGAACTGTTCTCCTCCCTCTTGCAGCTATAGAACTTATTGGAGACTTCATATCTCTCAATCCGGGCATTTGCTTGAAATATTAACTTCAACTCCTGGAACATCTCATATGCTCCATGATGTTCAAAACGTCGTTGAAGTCCCGATTCTAAGCCGTAAAGCATGGCACGCTGAACTATTGAGTAGTCATCAGCTTTGCTCTACCAGACGTTCATAACATCTGGTGTTGCTCCAGCAGCAGGCCTGGCACCTAGCGGTGCTTCCAGGACGTAATTCTTCTGAGCAGCAATGAGGATAATCCTCAAGTTACGGACCGAGTCCGTGTAATTGCTACCATCATCTTTCAACTTTGTTTTCTCAAGGAACGCATTAAAATTCAACGAAACAACAGCACGAGCCATCTATCTACAATCAAACATAAACAAGCAAGATACTATCAGGTACTAAGTTCATGATAAGTTTAAGTTCAATTAATCAAATTACTTAAGAACTCCCACTTAGATAGACATCCCTCGAATCCTCTAAGTGATCACGTGATCCAAATCAACTAAACCATAACCGATCATCACGTGAGATGGAGTAGTTTTCAATGGTGAACATCGCTATGTTGATCATATCTACTATATGATTCACGCTCGACCTTTCGGTCTCCGTGTTCCGAGGCCATATTTGCATGTGCTAGGCTCATCAAGTTTAACCTGAGTATTCTGCGTGTGCAAAAACTGGCTTGCACCCGTTGTAGATGGACGTAGAGCTTATCACACCCGATCATCACGTGGTGTCTGGGCACGACGAACTTTGGCAACGGTGCATACTCAGGGAGAACACTTCTTGATAATTTAGTGAGAGATCATCTTATAATGCTACCGTCAATCAAAGCAAGATAAGATGCATAAAAAGATAAACATCACATGCAATCAATATAAGTGATATGATATGGCCATCATCATCTTGTGCTTGTGATCTCCATCTCCGAAGCACCGTCATGATCACCATCGTCACCGGCGCAACACCTTGATCTCCATCGTAGCATCGTTGTCGTCTCGCCAATCTTATGCTTCCACGACTATCGCTACCGCTTAGTGATAAAGTGAAGCATTACAGCGTGATTGCGTTGCATACAATAAAGCGACAACCATATGGCTCCTGCCAGTTGCCGATAACTCGGTTACAAAACATGATCATCTCATACAATAAAATTTAGCATCATGTCTTGACCATATCACATCACAACATGCCCTGCAAAAACAAGTTAGACGTCATCTACTTTGTTGTTGCAAGTTTTACGTGGCTGCTACGGGCTTAAGCAAGAACCAATCTCACCAACGCATCAAAACCACAACGATAGTTTGTCAAATAGACTCTGTTTTAACCTTCGCAAGGACCGGGCATAGCCACACTCGGTTCAACTAAACTTGGAGAGACAGTCGCCCGCAAGCCACCTATGTGCAAAGCACGTCGGGGGAACCGGTCTCGCGTAAGCGTACGCGTAATGTTGGTCCGGGTCGTCTCGTCCAACAATACCGCCGAACCAAAGTATGACATACTGGTAGGCAGTATGACTTATATCGCCCACAACTCATTTGTGTTCTACTCGTGCATATAACATCAAACCATAAAACCTAGGCTCGGATGCCACTGTTGGGGAACGTAGTAATTTCAAAAAAATTCCTACGCACACGCAAGATCATGGTGATGCACAACAACGAGAGGGGACAGTGTTGTCTACGTACCCACACAGACCGACTGCGGAAGCGTTGACACAACGTAGAGGAAGTAGTCATACGTCTTCCCGATCCGACCGATCCAAGCACCGTTACTCCGGCACCTCCGAGTTCTTAGCACACGTACAGCTCGATGACGATCCCCGGGCTCCGATCCAGCAAAGCGTCGGAGAGGAGTTCCGTCAGCACGACGGCGTGGTGACGATCTTGATGCACTACTGTCGCAGGGCTTCGCCTAAGCACTGCTACAATATAATCGAGGTGGAATATGGTGGCAGGGGGCACCGCACACGGCTAAGGAACGATCTCAATGATCAACTTGTGTGTCTAGGGGTGCCCCCTGCCTCCGTATATAAAGGAGCCAAGGGGGAGGGGGCCGCCGGCCAGGAGGAGGGCGCAGGAGGAGTCCTACTCCTACCGGGAGTAGGACTCCCCCCCCCCCAATCCTAGTTGGACTAGGATTCCCCGAGGGGGAAACAAAGAGAGGGGGCGGCCACCTCTCCTAGTCCTAATAGGACTAGGGGAGGGGGGAGGCGCGCAACCCACCTTGGGCTGCCCCCTTCTCCTTTCCACTAAAGCCCACTAAGGCCCATATGGCTCCCGGGGGGTTCCGGTAACCTCCCGGTACTCCGGTAAAATCCCGATTTCACCCGGAACACTTCCGATATCCAAACATAGGCTTCCAATATATCAATCTTTATGTCTCGACCATTTTGAGACTCCTCATCATGTCCGTGATCTCATCCGGGACTCCGAACTAACTTCGGTACATCAAAATGCATAAACTCATAATAACTGTCATCGTAACGTTAAGCGTGCGGACCCTAGGTTCGAGAATAATGCAGACATGACTGAGACACATCTCTGGTCAATAACCAATAGCAGGACCTGGATGCCCATATTGGCTCCTACATATTCTACGAAGATCTTTATCGGTCAGACCGCATAACAACATACGTTGTTCCCTTTGTCATCGGTATGCTACTTGCCCGAGATTCGATCGTCGGTATCCAATACCTAGTTCAATCTCGTTACCGGCAAGTCTCTTTACTCATTTTGTAATACATCATCCCGCAACTAACTCATTAGTTGCAATGTTTGCAAGGCTTATGTGATGTGCATTACCGAGAGGGCCCAGAGATACCTCTCCGACAATCGGAGTGACAAATCCTAATCTCGAAATACGCCAACCCAACATCTACCTTTGGAGACACCTGTAGAGCTCCTTTATAATCACCCAGTTACGTTGTGACGTTTGGTAGCACACAAAGTGTTCCTCCGGTAAACGGGAGTTGCATAATCTCATAGTCATAGGAACATGTATAAGTCATGAAGAAAGCAATAGCAACATACTAAACGATCGGGTGCTAAGCTAATGGAATGGGTCATGTCAATCAGATCATTCAACTAATGATGTGACCTCGTTAATAAAATAACAACACCTTGTTCATGGTTAGGAAACATAACCATCTTTGATTAACGAGCTAGTCAAGTAGAGGCATACTAGTGACACACTAAGTTTATCTATGTATTCACACATGTATTATGTTTCCGGTTAATACAATTCCAGCATGAATAATAAACATTTATCATGATATAAGGAAATAAATAATAACTTTATTATTGCCTCTAGGGCATATTTCCTTCAGTCAAGATGATACAGGCATACATGTTGAAGGATTATGCCATAATAATGAGAAATTCAACTTAGTTGTAAGTTTTGTTTTATACCTCTATGTATTTTAATAATATACTTCATATGAACAGTTAGCTTATTGGACATCAATTTATTGGTGTGAAAAATATGAACCGGTAGTGCCATTTTGTTGCAAGAAATTGAGAAGAAGTTTGCACATCATATGTATAGTTAGCTTACTAGACATTAAAAATACATTTGGCTTTCTTTGTTGTATATCTTGTAAGGTTATGTAGCTTAAGTGCCATAATTCTATATGCAACTATATTTGATGACCAGTTTTTCATTAGTGCATCTCCATTCCTTGAACCATAATTACACTTTGCTTTTTGTATATAGGAAGACCTTGTCTACCCACCTTCATGGATGCAAAATATTGTGTTGGCTTGTTTACACAAATTTGTGGAACCAATGTTAAGTTGGTGGCCATTTAACAAGCTACGAAAAAGTGCTTTGAGTAGCCTCATGGATCATATCCATTATGAAGATGAAAATAGCAACTATGTCGGTTTATGTCCTATTAACAAGGTAATATCCAAAAACATTTATGTGTCATTTGGTTAGGAATTTTTTAGGTGTTGTTTTTTTAACATCGAGAATAGAGATCATACCTCACATCTTATAACTATTTAATCTATATCTTCTGAATGAAAAGGCTCCTATCACATTCTTGGAGAAAAGACTAGATGAGTCGAGCTCTGTTTCCTTTATTGAGGGCAAAAGGCTGTTTCAAGCTTGTTGTTTTTGGATTAAGAAATTGTATGTGTTTATCCTAACCGTGCAAGCATAGCTAGTGTGGTTCTTGGTAGGGTATTTATAGCCAGCTCTAGATGTCAAACTAATATTTGCAAAACTTGTGTTGAAAAGTAGCTACAAAAATGTGTCCCTTTCCAAAAAAAAGTATGAAGGGAGTACTCTCTAGTTACATCAAATTAAGGGCAATTCACTTGTTGGATCAATATTTACATATACGCCTTCTATTATTTTGTAAGTCTCAACACAAATTTAATTTTCTCTACTGGTGATTATACTAATAGAAAATGACCTAACAACAAATATGTAAAATACATGAACTGGACAAGATTATCAAAGACTATGGTATATACCAAACACAAGAAGATGTACCAAAATATCACTTTTCACCTTAATTATGAATAATATTGCTAATTTGTAACTAATTAATTTATCATACTATTCCATGATTAGGTATTAAATATGATTTGTTGTTGGATAGAGGACCCCAATTCCTATGCATTCAAACGACATCTTCCAAGAATTCATGATTTCTTATGGATTTCAGAAGATGGAATGAAGGCAAAGGTATATTTTTTATGTTTTATCATATTTGGATTTTGTATTACGTGTTATCACATTGTGGTGATATAAATAGTATTTGCATTAAGCAACTATTTTTTTTCCAAGTCCTTAATAAATTCACGGTACATGCACTTCCAAGAATATGACACAACTTGATGATAGAAATTATAACACGATACATTTATTTAGACTTTTTCTGAAGCAACTGATTATAAATATATGAGGTACCTTGTGGTTCAAGTAACTGGCACCGGGTGCATAACTTATTAAGTATATGTGACGTTGAAAACTTATAGGATGTGACATATTCTGAATATTCTAGGGACATTGTGTGAGGCATTTCATACATGTCTTTTTTCAAATGTATTTTGTTCACACCGATATGAACCACTCCATTTTTATGGTTGTACAAAATATTGAAGAGCATGTGTCACATTATGGAAATCTGAGCATTGTCGCAAGCACATCGGAATCTCAAAGCCATAGTTAGTGACTTCGAGGTTTGAGGTATAAAATAATTGAATGAAGAAAATGAAGAGGCGTACAACCTGTAACTAGCTGGAAATGGCCGTGAGATTGTTACCCGACTTGTGCAAAATCAAACGTTTTTGCATCAAGATGAGCTTTGTTGGTACTTTAGTATTTAAATTTTATGGTTTGATATGTATGTCTGTTTTTATGGGAGAGATGCCGAGAATTAAATGTTCTATTAGCATTAAATTAGTTAACTCTCTTGTATGCGACCCAAACTTCCATAAACTAAAAAAGTTATTGTTGATTTGAGTGCATAAGAGTTAAACATATACTCATACCTACTAGATAACAATCTAGGTAAAATCATGTAATCATCATCATAGTATCCATAAATGGTAAACCTCATAGCCCGAAGCCACTTGTGCAAATATGTCCCACTCAAAAATGCTTAAAGCATTTGCATGTTTTATCCGAAGGTGCATTCATTTTAGTTTATTTGTAGTGAGAGAATGGGGCAAGCTCATTTGTGTCATTTTATCTACACTAGGTGTATGTTGGCTGCCAGAGCTGGGAGACAGCACTTACAGCTCAAGCCTTTTGCTCAACCAACCTTGCCAAAGAATTTGCTCCAGTTCTTAGAAAGGCCCATGGGTTTCTAAAAGCAGCACAGGTGTATGACCAATGGTGGTTCTTTACTAGTAAAAGTGATATCAACGCAAAGAACTAACATCATCAATTCTTATCTTGAAGGTTACTCAGAATTTTCCTACTTACAACATTTATTATCGTGAAAGATCAAAAGGAGCATGGACTCTCTCAAATGGAGAGAATGGTTGGCCTATCGCTGACACTACTGCAGAAGCGATTAAGGTTGCTACAGCTTTTTCTGAATCGTTTAATATTAGCACACTTGTGACAAATAATAAAGATAGAATAAAACTCACGGACACTAATAGGATTCTTGATTTAGTTACCTTGCAGAATTAAAAATCTATTATGACACTACAACAGATTCTTATATTCTTTGTATTATGTTATCCAGGCATTACTATTACTATCAAAATATTCTCCAAGCCTTGTTGGAGACCCAATTGAAGAACAAAGATTGTACGATGCTATTGATTGCCTTCTTTCTTATGTGGTAAGACTAGAACTTGAATTATATAACATCTCTCAAGAATTATGTAGCTATAATAAAATGTACACAAAATATTCGAATTTGATATAAAATTTGTTGCTTAGTTACTTTCGATTATCACTGAGAGCTCAAATATTATGATGGCCTTAGCATGATAGCCAATAAAAGATAAATATTCCTATTTTCAAATAGCAAAATAGGAAACATGAAATTCATACTTTTTCATATATCAAAAGGATGTTCATTGCCTCCTTTCTTATGTAGAGTGAGACTAGAACGTGAATTATATACCATGTCTCAAGAATTATGTAGCTATAATTAAATTGCACACAATATCTGAATTTGGGATTTTACTGCTTAGTTACTGTGAATTACTATTACCGAGAGCTCGAAGCTTATATGGCCTTAGAGTAATAGCCATTGAAAGAGAAAGCTTATTACTTTCATATAGCAAAATTGGAAACCTTAAAGTCAGACTTTTACTGCCAAGATCACCCAGAAATTTGAGATATTACTTTAGACAGGGCCAATGGCAGGTATCTATTTTTTTCTCAATCTCAAAACTTCTAGTTAGATGGTGAAGGCATACATAATATAGTCCAGAAAAGTTATAACTAACATGTCTTGTCACACATGATGTTCATAGCTCTCTCCTTTTTCTTTCTCCGGGAATTAGCTCTCTGCTTGTTAATAATGTTTTGCATCTATTCACTAATTTCACATTGTCTTCAACATTTTCTATTTGACTTGTGGGTCAATGACCTTTGGATTGACATAATAGTTTTTCTCTACTCTTGAAGAATAAAGATGGAACACTTTCTTCGGCAGAATGTAAAAGAACGACTCCATGGGTAGAGGTGAGCACATGATTCGAGCCTGGGACAATGGTTACCGACAGTTCAAATCATAGAACAAGGCATACAAATTAATCATAAAATATTTTTTGCGGGAATCTTAAAACTTTAACCTCAGCCCTTAAATATATCGATTATTCAAGGAGTCAAAACAAAGACACGCTTCAGTTTAACACCAAAAAGTGTGGAAAAACTAATACTTCCTCCGTCCCGATTTACTTGTCATAGAAATGGATGTAGCTAGACGTATTTTTAGTTCTAGATACATCCATTTCTATTCATTTCTATGACAAGTAATTTGGCACAAAGGGAGTACTAGTTTAGTATGAAAGAAGTTGGACACTGTTGATGTCAAACTAAATATGACCTACACAATTATTCATGTGTCCACCCACCACCGCCAAAGGCAAACCATCGCCTAGCAATGTAGCTATGTCGCCACAACCAGGTTTCCACTCACTCGACCTTTGGAAGATGCATGCTACGCTTGCCACACCAAGCAAGCAACCTAATAGGATTCGGAGGAGGAGGTGAATGGGAGAGAAGAATTTGAGACGGATGTGGCCTTTGTTCACATCTTATCCACAGCCCTAGCGGTATCTACCGTTCCAAATTTCTTGAAATTCTAGCTTTGTCCCAAGACAAAGCTCTTATAGTTCCAAGTTTATCCCAAATCAAATGTCTCCTCATTGGAGCAAAATCAATGTAATTTACTTGCTTGCTAATTTCTATTTAGGAGTTCATCTTTTGTAAGTATTACCCCATGATGTAAGTACCATGGAAAATTCTTTATATTTAGTGATACATGGAGCCTCCATAGGCCGTATCCTGAAGACCAAGATGAATCAGCACTGGCAAAATATGTCTTAGACAATATTTTGTTTCTCCTATTAATAGAACAAATTTGTATGAGCATCTTCTATAGAATATATCAGATTGGAAACCAGCTGCCTAAGTTGTTTTCATACTTTGGTTCAATTTTGTAACAGATAGGAAGGAATTAAAACAAGTTAGCATGACTAAACTCTAAACCTTCCAGTACTATATTACATTGGAATGCGTGTTAAATAGATTCATATGCAAATGAATGTTATGGATTCCAATACCAGTCTGTCATGCCAACTTTGGTGAATGACTTGACCTCATAATTAATTACTTGCGTGTAGCTTGATTTGACTGACTGGTAATAGTTGATAGCTACCATATCAGACAAATCTTTAATAGTAAGACATGATACTTCTTTAATTAAATCTATAGCTATTCCAAAGAACATCTTCTCTTTCTTCATTTATGTTCATATTCCTCTATCTCTAATAAAATATGAGAGTCCCCATGCATTATCCATGTCTCCAGTAAAACAAGTGTCCCTCGATGCATTTTTGCTCGCCTACTATTTGCATATAGTTCTACCGATTCTTAATTTCATGGGAATCTATCATTTAATCCTAACCTAAAATAGAGATATAATTGTCTAAATAATTTGCATGGTGTCCGTTGTTGGTTTACGTGGCGGCTTACGTGGTTAGTATATATAAAAGATATTGTTCGTTGTCCTGGATCACTACTAGGGAAAACCCTAGTAGTAGCGTGGGTTGAAAGCCTACCAGTAGTGCTGGGCTCAACGCTACTGGTAGGGGGCTACAGCTATTTGGTAGTAGTAGCGTTGGTCCGGCCAGCGCTACTTCTAACCTACCTAGAAGTAGTGTGGGCACAACCTGCGCTACCGCTACCCTTCCTAGCAGTAGCGTTGGTATAACCAACGCTACTGCCAAAATCTGTATTTTATTTTCTTCCGCTTATTTGCATTGTATTTGTATAGGTTTTATAAAGTAGTCTCATCATATGATTTTATGATCATGATGATTTGTTATATCATTGGGTGAAAGAAATGCAGATTAGATTCAAGTGGATGGATCCAAAGTATGTGCAATCACTAATCTGTGATATTTTTAAATCATAAATTGACACACCAGTCACCTCATTATAATTGATCATTGACTTGACACTATGATTCTTTTGAATTATACTAGCTACTTACTTAGAACATGATTGCTGGCCAGATTCTGAATCCTTCAGAGAGTTTCCGAAACATCATCGTTGACTACCCGTAAGATGTTGACATATTTGTTCATTTGTAAAATTTGAGTAGTTCATTTGAACTATATCATTGTGGAATTAACTCATGGTATGAAACCATATGCAGCTATGTTGAATGCACCTCATCCTTAGTTCAAGCTCTAATATTGTTCAAAAACTCATACCCTGAGTACCGTTGTGAAGAGATAGAAGAATGCATCAAGAAAGGGACATTATTCATCGAGAAACAACAACGAACCGATGGCTCATGGTATGATTTAAAAAAATCATTAAGTGTGTGACATCATATACGTTGACTTCAAATCCTATAGCTAATAGCCTTATGTTATACAAATTAATTTAACAGGTATGGTACTTGGGGTGTGTGCTTCACTTATGCATCCTTCTTTGCCACAAAAGGATTAGTTGTTGCTGGAAGAACATACGAGAATAGTGTTACCATTAGGAAGGCATGCAGCTTCTTGCTGGCAAAGCAGCTCAGTTCAGGTGGATGGGGGGAGAACTATCTTGGTTGCGAGACTGAGGTAATTCTTTTCTCCAATGTTCTATTGTCCTTTATAGTTTAGCCGAAGATGTTTAGCTGAGTTTGGGTCTGTTGAGTGCTTTTGAGGTAAGATTCTTCCATTCAAACCATTTAGGTGGGTACTATTTGGTTAGGCATCTAAGAACCAAACACCATGAGTTCGGAAGAAAGTTGGTTAACTAGGAAAAATGCGTTCGTCCTCCTAAACCAACATAGGGATGGATCAATGATGCCCTATCTTTTGGCTATGTTTAGTTAAATTTATGGATTTCGTTTCTGTGTTTGACTACAGTCTACCTCATTATATGTTCCTTATAAATACCTCATGTAAGTTGCATGGGATCACCGGATCGGTACAATGTTGTAAATCTTGATATATAGCGAAGATCAGTATGATTTATGCTTATCATGTTTTGTAATCTCCACTTTGAAATTTAACAGGATTATGTTGATAGTGGGAGTCCTCATGTAGTGAACAGTGCTTGGGCAATGCTAGCTTTACTCTATGCTGGACAGGTTTGGTTTCTTCAGTTGTTCCTTTGAGTATGACCAAATTTGATTATATTCTTAAAGTCCTGTGGTATGTTTGAAATACTTGATATTCAGTTATATTTGATCACAATGCCTAGGTTGAAAGAGATCCCACACCAATGTATCATGCTGCAAAAGAATTGATAAACTTGCAAACTGAGACAGGAGAATTTCCCCAACAAGTAAGTACTGGATTTTTCTCATAGAAGGGAACAATATTTGTGTTCACTTATGCAGATAATAAAGCGGTATATTCAATATACTCCCTTTGTACCTAAATAGATGGCATATAAACTGAGTCAAAAAGTCGATACTTTCTAAGTTTGACCAAGCATATGTAAAAAAATTATGAAGATTAATAATACCAAATCAATATCAATATATCCATCATTAGATATATTTTCATAATGTATTTATTCTATATTGAAGTTGTTGATGGTTTCTTATATAGGTTTTGTCAAACCTAGAAATAATTGACCTTTTAGTTGAATTTATATGCCATTTATTTGGGGATGGAAGAAATAATACATTTAAGACAGCAATGGTAATGTAACAGAAAGGTAGTCTTTGGATAATATAAGCTAATGATAAAACCACTAGATAGTGTAAAACCTGGTAAATTATGAGAGAAGTGTCAGTTGTTCGTTTGCTCATACTTCCAAATAGAGGGATCTCTTATTGGGACCATGTCTCGATTGCAGTTGGTTGTAGGCTATTCCACAAGGGATAACATGTTTTTATTTGTATATTAACTCCAGGAAACTGTTGGGAACTTCAATTCGTCTCTTTATTTCAACTATAGCAACTACCGCAACTTGTTTCCTATTTGGGCTCTTGGAGAGTTTCACCACCGACTTGTTGGCAACAAGAACTGAAGCTGACATGCATACCTTCATTGTTGTAATAATAATATGTACCATATTGTGGGGAGTATCAGAATAAAGATATTGATGCCATGGAGAGGGATGTGAATGGCTTTTTTGTTGTAATAATTATATCTACTAGTGTTAAAAATGATACCTACTGTATTGTGGAGGGGAGGATTTAGGGCATGCAAGTGCGAGGGCACGCACTTTGTGGGCCTTGATCTGCGCCAAGATTCGCACATATGTTTGTGTATATGGTCTTTTGTGTTCAATAAGACTTCGTATATGTGTGTAATGTTATGTATATCTAATCGTACATCTGTCTTTTCGTGTGGCCAGATAACTGTTCGTGTGGGGTATGTACTGTAAGTAAATCTGCACATATACAATTCCAAGGGAAAATGATTCTTTCGCTGCACACATAGTCTCGCAATAAACAAGATCCAGATATAATGTTGATGCTCAATGCTGGCACGAAATAACAATTATTGAGGTCTAAAACTAATCCCGAAGATAGATGTAGAGGTACCGTGCCAACGGCGATCACATCGACCTTGAAACCATTCCCGATGTGCATCGTCACCTCGTCCTTAGCCAATCTCCGTTTCTTCCATAGCTCCTGTTTTGAGTTACAAATATGAGCAACCAAACCGGTATCAAATACACAGGCGCTACTATGAGCATTAGTAAGGTACACATCAATAACATGTATATCAAATATACCTTTGTTCACTTTGCCATCCTTCTTATCCGCCAAGTATTTGGGGCAGTTCCCCTTCGAGTGACCATTTCCTTTGCAATAAAAGCACTTAGTTTCAGGATTTGGTCCAGCTTTGGGCTTCTTCATGGGAGCGGCAACTTGCTTTCCATTCTTTTTTAAGTTCCCTTTCTTTCCCTTGCCCTTTTTCTTGAAACTAGTGGTCTTGTTAACCATCAACACTTGATGCTCCTTCTTGATTTCTACCTCCGCGGCCTTTAGCATTGTGAAGAGTTTGGGAATCATTTTTGTCATCCCTTGCATATTATAATTCATCACGGAGCCTTTGTAGCTTGGTGGCAGTGACCGAAGAACTTTGTCAATAACACTCTCAACTGGAAGATCAATCCCCTGCTGAGTCAAGTGATTATGATACCCAAATATTTTGAGTATGTGTTCACTGACAGAACTGTTCTCCTCCATCTTACAGCTATAGAACTTGTTGGAGACTTCATATCTCTCAATCTGGGCATTAGCTTGAAATATCAACTTCAGCTCTTGAAACATCTCATATGCTCTATGATGTTCAAAACGTCTTTGAAGTCCAGGTTCTAGGCCGTAAAGCATGGCACACTGAACCATCGAGTTGTCATCAGATCGAGTATGCCCGACGTTCATAACATCTAGCGGTGCATCAAGGACATAATTCTTCTATGCAACAATGAGGATAATACTCAAGTTATGGACCCAGTCCGTGTAGTTGCTACCATCATCTTTCAACTTAGCTTTCTCTAGGAACGCATTAAAATTCAGGGGAACGGTAGCACGGCCAATGATCTATGACATAGATATGCAAAAACTATTAAGACTAAGTTCATGATAAAATAAGTTCAATTAATCAAATTATTAATGAACTCCCACTTAAATAAACATCCCTCAAGTTACCTAAGTGATACGTGATCCAAGTCAACTAATTCATATCCGAGCATCACATGAGATGAGGTAGTCATCAATGGTGAACATCTCTATGTTGATCATATCTACTATTCCAGGTCAAGAGACGACGTGATGAGTACCCCCTAGTCCAGGACACCGTCAATAGCCCCCTGATATGGTCTTCAAGTTGGGGATGCTCCTCGATTCTTCTGAACTGTTCTTCATCTTTGGTCGTCGGTCTTGAAAATTGGTTCAACAAAACTTCTCATCTTCGATCTTGAGGATCGCCGAAGTGAATCCGAAGAGTTTACACGTCGGGTATCCGAGGAGCCCCTTTAAGTTTTCAGCCTTTATCAATGCCTTGTTATTTTTATGCCACACCTCGGGTTTGAAGTTGTTCCCGTGTGGCAGTGTCCTCTTGCGTCCGGGCTCCAACGTCGGACTGCATCTGAGGTATCCTCTTGTAGCCGAACTCCAACGCCAGACTGCATCCGAGCTCCAACGCTAGACTGTATCTGAGGTGTCATACATCACCTTGGTTCGAAAAAGTTGAAGGAGTTCTGCCGAACTTAATGCCAGAAATGCCCTCTATGGAGCCAGCCATTTGTATCCGAGCTTTATGCCGGATAGCATCCGAGGTGGTGTACCACCTTGGTCTTGGGCTGATTGTTTGCGGATTTTATTTCCGATTGATGCAGTTTATTTACTGACGAGATATATAGCTAGTAGCCCTCAAGGTGTGTGTCGGCCTAAAATCCGAGATGCACATTAGAGGAGATAGTGATCGGCGAACGGGCCCTTGAGGGAGGGTTTTGAGAAGTCACCATAATATATTAGCTTGATGCCGGATAAGTCCCAGTTGGTACCTATTGTTGTCCGAAGACGTGTTTGCCCATAGTTCATTCAAGCCGAGCACTGAGCACTTTGAATTTTCTACATTGAATAGGTAATGCAGTAGCCCCCGAGATATTGTTCAGGTGCCAACACCATATTAGGGGATCGATGTGCCCCTTTAATATTAGTAAATGATAAGCCCGAAGCCCAGTAGCCCCTGAGCCTTAATGCGGGCACGGGTGGCCGAATTAAGGATCGATATCTGAAGTAAAATCACAAATTATGTGTAATGATTCTATGTATTGAAGTACTCTACATCATTAATGCTCGGATCCGCGTTGTACAAAACTTTGTTAACCGACCATCAGCTTCAACCTCCTCGACCAGTAGCCGAGGAGTGTTTGTCATACTTTGGAAAGCCTTTATGAGGGCAAAGATTTACGACAAACAAGGCAATCCGGCCATACGGTTTTATAAACAAAGGTACACGGAGAGATAGGTTATAAAACATCTTCTAGAAAAAATAGTTCCATTATAGGTTTCTTTTCCCAGGCTGTCATGTTGATTATGATCATGAAACCTCAACTCCGATCAATGTGGGAGGAAAATATTGAGGATTTAGTTGGGGGGAAGTTCCCGAACTCTGTGGTCCACAAAAGGAGCCGAAATTTTCACTTCCATCGTTGCCGACCAATTATATCCTTTAAGATGCCTAGATTTCGGCTTCACCAGTCTAAGGTACTAATCTGGATGACCCGGTAGTAACAATCACAGAGGTGCTCCCTTTACCATCTAGCCGAACAATCGGGAACGTAGGGGTAAGCACAGGAGCCAGGAAACCCAGCTTGGCCAAAATCTTAAGTCAAAATGATGCATATTTATGGCTTTATAACGATAATTACGGAAGGCAGCGCTTGTATAATGAAGACAAACACTGATGAGAGATGTTTATTTTGACTCTGTCACGACCGTTTATCATTTGAAAGTGGCCCATCATCAGCTTCTACCCCTTTGTAGATGCTACGCAGGGTGTTTCCGTAGTAACAAGACAACCCTTAGCCGACGTCTCGGTGCCCGGAGGTGGTTGTGTTAGAGGAAACAAGGTAATCAGATACGCGGGCTTTATAACTTTCACTTAGTCATAGGAGCTTAAAGTTGGGAGGCCAGCTACTAGCCCCCGGTTAGTGTTCGGCGACAGCTAAGGTCAAGCCGTTAACACTTCGGCCAATGTTATGAACGGCCCATCGTTTAACATGGGGTGACCTCCATCGATGTTATAGTTTAACACAGTCATCTGATTGCTGACCAGTTTACGCTTATTGTGACAGTCAGTTTTCGGCTTTCTCCACTGAGGACCTTAACCATGCGAGCTGGAAGCACAATCGTAGTGGTTCTCCCTTTGCACACCTAGCCGAACAAAGCGGAACGTAGGAGGCAAGCACAGGAGCCGGGCAATCCAACTATTGACCGAAGACACAATTAGAAACTGATGCATATAAAGCAATACCCGAGAATGTTTGCCGAGGAATCCTCGGAGTACCGTGGCTTTTCTGATCGGTTCGGCTCTAGCTGCCGCACCGTGTTGATAGTGCCTAAGCTTTAAAGGTGTTCGGCGTTGTACTGCAAGACTTATGTTAGAAACACACAAATAGGTTAAAAGTGGCATAAGCCTAGAAAACCAAAAGACTCCAGTAAAAACTTTAAGTCCGAACTAAATCAAGTTTTTTGTGCCAATCCAAAATTGGTCTTAAAGTTTTTTGTGCTTCTGTCATGCTTTAACATGACACATCCGATCTCAAGACTTCAAGCGGGTCAGCCTACGGCTTCAACCTCCTATCCCAAAGGCGGAGTACCTCTCGTTAGGCCAGTTTAGCGAACCAAACCCGAGCAGTTTTGGAGAGAAACTTGGCCATCTGGCGATTGACCACACACTAGAGTCAAGAAAAGAGTGGGAGAAAAAGACTTTGCAATGACTTAGAAGAAGAACACTTACTCTTGCACAAGTCCATAAATGGATCGCTGGAGCTTGCACACTTTGTTAGCACCTTTAGGATTGACAAAACCTTCTGGTTGCATCATATACAACTCTTCTTTAAGAAATACATTAAGGCATGTGGTTTTGACATCCATTTGCCAAATTTCATAATCATAAAATGCAGTAATTGCTAACATGATTTGGACAGACTTAAGCATCACTACGGGTCAGAAGGTCTCATTGTAGTTAACTCCTTGAACTTGTCAAAAACCTTTTGCAACAAGTCAAGCTTTGTAGACAGTAACATTACCGTCAGCTTCAGTCTTCTTCTTGAAGATCCATTTATTCTCTATGTCTTGCCGATCATTGGGCAAGTCAACCAAAGTCCACACTTTGTTCTCATACATGGATCCCATCTCAGATTTCATGGCCTCAAGCCATTTCGCGGAATCTGGGCTCATCATCTTCCTCATAGTTCGTAGTTTCGTCATGGTCTAGTAACATGACTTTCAGAACAGGATTACTGTACCACTCTGGTGCGGAACGTACTCTGGTTGACCCACGAGG